ATATAAAACAAATTTATATCGAATTTCTAACTTTCAAGGTCTTTCAAAAAATTGTTTCTGATATTAGATATTATGTGAAAGGCAAATACCTAAATATTGCTTTTTCTCGGACACTCTAATGTACATAACATTAGTGTGATTGTTTTTAACATCCCACGTTCTGTCTTTATACATACATACATATGTATTTAATATAGTCGTGGAAGCGGCTCAACACTTTGGATCATTTCACACAGGACCAAAAACAACGCAAAAAATCCAAAAATTTACACAAAATAATAAAAAAGACATCCGCATACACAAATCTAGTTGAATATTAATTGGGCAATAGCACGCAATAAATACTCTTACATAAATACCAGTGTCCATTTTGATTAATTGGACAGTAACTAAATGATACAAAAATTATTTTGTATTGCACAGGCCACCGCACAAATTCTCTAGTGTATGGGTGGATGAATACATAACATTTTAATTTATAGCTAGAGTTACTTTTTAAAATTCTATCAATAGGGATTATATTTTACAGATTAAAATCCGATATTAGTCTCAGATTCTCACTAGGATATGGGAAACAAAAACAACAAACTAACCTAAGAAATCTTTGAAGAAATTTTTCAGAAAAATATAAAAATCATGCGAAGGCTCACACTCGATTAAAGAAAAAAGAAACGGTTAATTGTATTACCTACTTACTCAGTGGGCATAAGTATGTGTAACATAATGTATAATAACATCGTAAAGAAATTACATTCACCATTAAAACTCTTGCAGATTTTTTTAACCATATTTGTGCGTTGGCTGTGCGTGCCATTTGGCGATATCGTTAATTGTCGTAACGACATTTTACATGTTGATACAACTCATAGATTGTTTCATGTTGTCTTCAAAGTGGTCAATAACTGTGTTTATTTGTTTCATTGTTTGTTTCGATTTTTTTTTCTACAAAATCTATTTGTAGCTTCCGCCCTGCACTTTATTACGGTAGCATTTTCATTGGAGTTTTGCTACACGCTACCTGAGCAGTCTTTTAACATAATCCGCAATTTCATTATGGGGGGCCTTAACGTGATCATATTGCAATATACATGTACAGTGTTGTTTAATGGCTACAACGGTAACGTTAAAGATTTAACTAAAGCTAGAGTTGGCCACAGTACCGCTGGAATAGTTTTGCAGACGGAGTTTTTAGGCAGTTTGTATTTTAATTCCATTTTGGTTTATTTTCTTTTGTTGTCGTTGACATGATTGAAGAAACGGGGCAAAAGAAATCATGTTGCACTAATATCACGACCATAAAATGTTGCAACCACATTCAGTGATAGCTAAGCTCCTAACAATTGTTTCAAAGTCGCATTGACTCCCTGCAGTGGTGTGTTACAAATTGCTGCCATTTATGAGTATAAAGTTTATTTCTTACAATTGTTTCTTTTTATAATTGAATTCGCATACCAAGTTCTTATTGTCACTCTTTAAGGGATTCTAATTGTTTATTATTGCTGGCCTTAGAGGCTCATGAAGGATACTGATGAGGTAGTTGTGGCAAATAAAGTAAGCCATGCCAACAAACTAAGATAAGAGGCAACAACATGGTTTTGACTGCTAGTGGTAGTCCAATGGCTTTGAAAAACTTCGGCAGCTTATCAGCTAGAGTGCATACACAGTGCTCATCGTCAACATAGAAACGATCTCTCTGTCTAACTGTGCAAATATATGCTTGTCTGTCATTTAGTCTCTTGGTCTATCTGTCGCACACCCAAATGTATTTTAGTAATGCAACAACTTATCGATTGTATCATCACATCCTGTATGTCAAGTTATTTTTTAATGTGCCCACCTTATATCACATCTTGGTAGTTACTTATAATACACACACAATGAGTGCATTAACGTCTTGATCGAATGCCAAACCATGCTCCATTTGACGACAGTTTGACTGCAATTAACGACGACGCGTTCCGAAGTGACGAGTGTGCGTAAAACTCTTTTAATTGGTGTAAGATCTTCGCCAAAAGCGGAAAAACATCAAACAGTTTAAAAAGAACCAAAGGAACTCTTGGCAAAGATTTCATTTCTGCAGCATTTTTAACTGATAATACATTTTGTGTTTTCTTTTATGTACATCACAATCCAAAGTCGCAACAGAAACGGCATTATTACCTAAATTAGGCACATGAGCGGTAATCTAGAGTTACCAGATATAATAACAGAAATGCATATTTAAATTTATAATGGAAAATAATACCATGTCATTAAAAGCAAATTGAGATGAGCAAATCAGAACTAGAACTTTAATAACACTATTAAGTAGATCAAAACAATTTCATTTTATCCTTAAAATGACAAAATAAACTATTCGAAAAATAAAATTAGATCAGTTAACTTAGTTAAACTTATCAGTTGGTAACCTTATACAAATCACTCAAACGATGATCACTAAAATTGGACGAACTCTCAGTTATAACAACTTTAACTTTGAATGGGTACAATTGAATTGAAATGTTAATGTTTTTTTTTTTTTTTTGTAATTACTTTAACAATTCTGTAATTTACGACTTCTGAAACATTCATGTGTTAAGTGTTGGTTGAGCATGCAATTAAAGTTAAAACTGGCTGTTTTTCAAGTGCAAATATTTTTTTTATTTACTGCTGTTCTGTTAGTTTAAGTCTAATGTTAAATGCAATTATTGCTTTACTGATTGCACTCTAATGGGAGGCGCTTCATTTATCTCGGTAATAAGTCATACGCACGAACAAATGTAAGGCTATAGAACGGAAGAACATATACACATGTATACATTAGAGTGGCCCCGTTTGTATGGAGGAAAATGAACATTGTTCAATGTTCCCAATTAAAATGAAAGTTTAATAGATTCTATGATATCGTTTCTTAAAATGTTTCTCCCGTCGCCAATATTGGGTGAGCTATGTATGTTTGATTAGCTTTGCTTATGTAAAGTAAACTGTGGACCATTAATATTAACTTTGTGTACTCCGTTTTTCATAATCAGATCTTATGCCACTGTAAAAGGACGTTAAGGACATATGATTTCAAAAGACGGAATTCAAATTTATCCTGTCTGTAAACCGAATCTCGTTTAGAAGAGAATTCTCATAATTTTTCTCGTTTTAAAACCGAGTACATAAATCTAGTCCAGAAATCGAGTACACAAATCTAGATCGAATTTAATTTTAATCTAATAAATTAAATAACTATTTTTTGCGTTTTTTAATACAATTATAACTTAATATAAATGCTATGGGCATTTTAAACTCTTTTTCATTTAAAATAAGTTTATTTTTCTGAATTTTACGCTCAAATAAAAATTCGAATTACAGAACAGAATTGCATATAAAAAAGTTGGTATTTATATTAATATCAAATGAAGCTGAGAACCTCTGCTTCATCAGGATTAAAAAAGAAATGGAAGCTTAAAAAAACTTGTCACAAAAATTGTTAAACTGTCTTATAAATAAAATTCTTTAGTTAAACTAAAATATTAACACAATTTATCCTAAATATGTATTGTTTGTTATGCCTACTTTGTTAATGACATAGGCTTCGATAAATTCAAATAAAATTCGATCTAGATTGAATGTTGAAAAACCGAAAAAACTGTTTTGGTTTGTGTTAAAATGTAAGAAATCTGGAAAATTTCTGAAAAATTATAAAATGTTGATACTTTGCTGATATGTTGTATCTTAGAATGAACTAAATTTTAATTATCAGCGGAAACATTAGCAATTTCGATTTCGTAGCCACCCTAATGTACATACATACACACTTAGGGTATGTATGTATTCCCAGCAAAAAATAATTGATGTCATACTTACAAACTACATCTTAATCACATCTTAAAATGCGATTACATATTTTTCACTTTTATAAACTAAATATTTCCTTACAATTGAAACCCGAGTTAAAAGTGGGGAAAGAGATGTGGAAAAGTCATTACAAATAACATATTTGAAGTACATCAAGATTTGGTGAAAGAGTAGTGAAATTTACATAAGCGTGTCATTAAGAGAATGTGTTTTATTTTTGACATCCAAATATCGGTTTTTTACTGCTTCTAAAAATAAGATTAGATGTAGTTCAAAGTTGCCAAAAATGAACAACATCCTTCCAATGACACGCTAATGTAAAATTCATAGGTTTTACACCCGAATTTGAAGCACTTCGGGTTACTAGTTGTGATGAAAATTCTACATCTTTTTCCACATTTTTTTTGCTGGGTTACGATTGAAGAAACAAAATGGATGTTGGTGCTTTAACTTCTAATATCAAAGAACTTTTTTTTTAAGTCGATTACTCGACGTAAATTTTCGACTCCAAAGATTATGGATTTGTATAAATAGTATTGCCATAGTTTTTAAAACTAATACGATTTAACGAACGGGCAAATTTTCGTTAAACCGGAAAACCACTCTACTCTATAATGAGCTGCAAGCTGCCTTCCACAAGGGAAAAATAGCAGCTCTATAGTTAGCAGTTAGTTTTTAATTATGTCGCTATGTGTGACTCAGGTCATTCCGGAGCGTGTGTCCAATTGTAGTGTTGGACAATACCAAGGGTACATCCTATTAATTACGGTGCGCCAGTATGTATTTCATTTCTTAGCAACCCCAAATAGAGAGACCAAATCGCTGGTTCACGTGTCAAGATTTGGAATGTATGTTATTTATGTAAATGAGTAAGTCAGTTAGACAACAAAATTTCTTGTTGACTGAGCATTCATTCAGATTCCGATTTAGAATTAATAACCTTTCTAGATAAATGCGGATGACTTCCTACGGTACTGAAATCTAGGATATCAGACATGGACATTACTACAATACCAATTTGTTGGTTTAAAATTATAAGGTAAAATATATATACACCCAACTAATGAATTGCAATTGATTGTTTATTCTAGTAGATTAAGTAGTCCAAAAACTTTTTGTATTGTTAAATAAATCGCTAATTGCAAATATCATAAAAAATAAAAAATCCTCCTTACCTTTCACTTTTCTATTATTTCTATGTAGACACTTGCCCTTGCATCATTCGTTGCACCGCCGCACAGCTGATGGATGAAAACACATAAACAACTCACTTCTTACAAATTTAATTTAGGAACTATGCCTTCTTTACATTTTTGTGTTCTTTTTAAACGTACTTTAAATATTTTCAACATTTTATTAATTCCAACACAATGTTATTATATTTCTTTTCAAAAGTAAATAACTTTTCCATTTCTTGTACAAAAATCTTGATCTACACACTTTTCACAATGTAAACAAACAAATACCGTTACTATTTTTATGCATAGACAGAGATGCAAAAATAAGGAACTTTTATGAAAAGCAAAAAGTACTTTTTTTTACTTCAGTAATGTCTCAAGCCAAAATTAATTTTTTAAGTTTTACTAAATATATGATTTTTTATTTATTTATAAAAATAAAATATAAAAATCTCTTCGGACCTAATATTACTTTTTTTCAAATCTTGTTGGACTGTGTTAAATTCAAATACGTCTAACTCAAATGATCCACAGTGTGGATATTAATGTATTACATATCGCTCATTTACTACAATACTGTCATAATTCAAAATTTTGAATTGAATAATAAAAATTATGCGCCATTCTAACGTCTTTCATTTAAAATTATATATTTTCTAAAATGTCTACTATTTTTGGTTTGAGAGCGATTTTTTTTCAAAAAGCCTAAGTTACATTGAACAAATATTTCAGGAGAAGCAAAAATCCTTGTAAAATAATAAATAAGCCAACATCTTTCCATATTTTCTCAAGTTTGAAAGTTTGAATTTTTGGTTTACTTTTGAAAATATTAAACTCACGCCCTTGATAAATAGTTTTTTCTGAAATACAAAAGTGCGTAAGTTATATTAAAACTAGTAAGGTTTTCGAAAATTGGATTTTTTTTTAAAAATCTGAAACTGTTAAAATAAGCCCTAAATCACAAGGATTCGTTTAAAGTGTCATTTTACATTTTACAATTTTGATTTTAAAAATTCAAAATAATCATCTTTCGATCAGAGTTAAATTCTGGAGGTACAAATTATCGTATTCACTAAATAAATATGTTTTTATTATATATGGAAATATATAATTAATAAAGATAGTAGTTTATAAAATAAATACTTTTATTTTTTCTTAATTCTAGACGACTTGCAATTGTAGTGACTGATCTTCAACCTGTTGATGTGGAGCATTATCATAACGAACAAATTTATTAATTTGGAATGATTCATCATTATGGTAATCAGTGTCCACAACAAAAACATCAACAACCTTTTCAATTGTATATTGCTCCTGTATCATTGTGTTTAACAATACCAATGGTGTCACCTTTACCAGACCCAATTTGGAAGGACATATTGTTAGAGGAAACTCCTTATATTGGCCAGGATCAACTACACCTATACTAAATTCAGCACATCCAGTATAGGGACAATTGAAATCTAATGGAGTTGGTAGTTTGACCATCAAATCCATGGGTCTGTCTGCTGTATTAGTTACTCTACAAACGAAAGTAAAAGGTTCACCAACCTTGACGATATTCATGGCATCAATTACTTCTAACCGAACATCTTTATATTCAAAAGGCTTAAACGAAAGATGAACAATGTTAATTAAAATTTTTAGTTATTAAAATGGTTCATACCAATCTTTGTAACTGACTCGTTTGCAGGCGTCCCTTTTCTCCTAAATTTGAACGCCAAACAATGTCCAGTTTTCCCACAGTATTTGCTGTTCTTAATACTTTAATATCCTTAGAGACTTCCGGCTTGGGCTGCAAATATTTTTATCATTAACGGTCATTATTTTAAAAATTTTTACAATATACTTTTATGCAATAAAGAAATTGACAGCTATTGTTTGGTTGCAGCATATTTTTTGATGTAAATACTGATTCTCCATTTGGCAAAGTGTTTAACGAAGTCACCGTATATTGATCGGAACTATCAAGCTCAACCTTCTCCAGACAAAAGGGACCCGTGGTGATGTTTTGTATTTGTGCTTCCAAATATATTTCATCCATTTCAGCATTGTAGAATTTCGTTTTCACATCCAAAGGTTTTAAAACTTGAAATTTGAAGAATTTCCGAAAATATTGGGGGAGACCGGCAGGAGTGGTATAATTGACTTCACAAACGAGACTGAAATTGTAAAAACAAAATTAAAAAAAAATATATATTTTTTTTATTTAAAATACATTTTCCTACATATGAGTTCCGATTTCTTTAACCTCGTAACGAATGACATCATCTAAAGTCTCGTCAGGACCTAATGTTGCTGGTTTTGCTTTGTTTTCGTGCATGGGTAAATTAATACGTGTATTGTTTGATTGCAGATCTGCTTTAACAGTAACACCATCCACTGGATGGGAAGTACAATTGTGGACGCAAATATAACTAGAAAAAGTCTCTCCCAAATAGATGTTGCCAAATGACTGAGGAAGAAGCATAAACTGACCAGCAGCCAAAAATTCTGATCCGGCGATGGCTGTGCCTTCAGTCTCTGAAACCTGCTTGAAGCTAAGTTGTGGCAGGTCTCGAGGTTCACAAGAGATGATTTGTGGACACACTAAAGTAGGTCTGGTTAAGCGCATCACTGCAAAACAAAAATCAATTTGAATTTTTTATATACTTGATAAAATCAAAAAGAATTTACCTTTTAATGCCAGTAAATGTTCACTTTGATCTAAAGGATTCATTTTTTTATTTTCAAATGCACTTTAATCACTCCAGCTACAAAAATAATTTTAAGAAAATAAATAAAAATTTTAATCTTTTGCTTACACCAACTTCTTGTTAACGAAACTATTCAGCGATGAATGATAACTCAGAGGGAAATACTGGAGACGTGGTAACTGTTTTGCTATTTTCTATTAGTATAATATTAACAATTATGAGACTTTAAGGCGGAAAACAAAAATATTAACATATTCACAAATATATATTTTGTGATATAAAAAAATACCTTTAAGTGTTTTTAGCGACATTTTTTTCTTTGGATTCTTATCACTTTTTTACTTGCAAATTGGGCATACTTTCTAAAACTACTTTGGCAATACTGACTTTTTGACATTTATAAAATTCTTCTTCTTTCTTTAGAAACCATTCATTGAAAAATTAAACAATAAAAACAAATCATTATTTAACATTGAAATTTATTAATTGAAACAAAATGTGGCCGATTCTTTTAGCTGTTTTACGTCGAAATGCAGTCTACATCACACTTCCCATTGCAGGAGTGGTAGGATTTATAGGATATAATTTGGAAAGTTTACTTTCTGACAAATATACGCCGTACAGCAGTAAGTAAAAGATATCCATCCCTCCATGCTTTTGTATATTATCAAAATTTCATTATATTTTGTAGAATCTGTCCAAGAGAATCGAGCCGAACGTCTAACAGAAGATGACATTCTGGCTAATGCTGGTCACGTGGATAAGTTACGCTTAAAAGAAAATGTTTTGGAACGAAATTTACCTCCTTCTTTACAAAAGAAAATCTGAAATGATGACACACCCGCATTTAAAAATATAAATTTGGACAAATAGAGAAGATTCAAGCTACTAAATAAAAAAAATGTAAAAATGTATTTAATTTAAAATATTAATTAATAATTTATTATTATTTATATAAATAAGCTCAGCAAAAGAATGTATGATGGTAGTTGTTTATTTTCATTGAAAAAGAAAGATGAGTGGTGATAATATGATGAATGAAAATTTCCCCAACATATACAGTGATTATAAATGTTCAATGAAATGGCGGCACCATTACGTTCATAGTTTCTACTTATATAGACTCTGCTACGAAGAATAGAGTTGGAAAATTACTGAAAATTTGTATTGATCTGTTATGAATGAATGAACAAATGTTACAATTATAAAGCTACTATCGTCATATGAAATCCAAAAAGCCCTAAGTCACAAACAAAAAAATCAAAATCGACTTTTTGATTGATTATGATGCACCGCATTAAAATGCAAGTTCCTGCTAAATTTTACAATCCTATAATTAAAATCAGCGTCCCTATCAAAGAAATTCTAAAAGGTTATGTTCTAAAATTATCATGAATTCATGAAAATTTTAAAATTCTTTTGAATTTTAACTTCGAAACTGTGAAAAATTTATTTATAAGTTGGCATCAAATAAAACAAAATTGGCTCTTTTAGCGAATCCTTGTAATTTAATAATTATAAATATAAAATGTAAGATATAAGATATAAGAAACTTAGAAACTTATTGCTATCTATATACAGTGAATCAAATAATTTGCCTATGTAAAATTTTATAAATTTTAAGAAAAAACTATCTGAACAATTATTTTTAGCAAAATAGAGCAATTTATTTGTTTGTTGTATTTTTTAAAGAATATCTTATATCTTAATTTTCTACCATAAAAAGTAAAATCGTGATATTAATTAACGAGATTTTTGATAAAATGTGAACGTATTGTTAATTTTTAAGGTCAATAAAGTATTTTGCTTTTTTAGGTTTTTTGTTCATTTTTTTAATATTGCTGCATTATTTTATAAAATTTAATATTTTTATTACTCCTATATATTAAAATAACATTTTTTAGATATTTTAGTAGTGGAACGACTAAGTTTGGACATTTCTTAACCGATTTATTATCCTATATACCTATAAGAATTTTTCAACATTTGACTTAAATGAAATCTATCGTTTCTTTGATTTAATTTCGAAAATAATAAGTAATTTTGAATTGGATACATGATATATTAGGAAATCAATTGATTTGGACCTAGAAAAAAATATTAATCTATAGATTATAACAAAAATAATCTGGGTTTTTGGTCATTTTGTATTGATAAACAAAAACTACATTACGGAATTGGGGAGTACTGTGTGAATTTTATTTAGAATTGTATAATATTGATTCTTATTCAATAAAGCTAACACTAAGTACCATCCTAGCCACTCTAAGTATGGGGATACACCGTATACCACTATAGAACTATTACATGCTAGAATTTTGATATTCTACCTCTTATTTTGAATGCATTATTATTTTATGAATAAAATACAATAGGCGTAGCTGGATTTGGATAGTTATTCTTGATTTGGGTTCTAACTATATATAAGTGTATGTATTAGCTGAAAAATATTGCTTTTGTGGATCTTAGGTGATGAGAACCGCCTCTATTTGTAAATATCTAAATTAAGTATTTTTCCCGTACCACACGATAGTTCACTTCATATTGTTTCCAAGCAACCTAAGGTCTGTTTAGAGGTCTAAATGTAAACATAGTGTTCTTTTAAGTTCGTATATGGACTTTGGAGAAGATAAATGAGGACTTGAATGAATGGTTTTTGCTTGGATACAAGTCGCTCTCCTTTGGCAGTTAAAGATTTTGAAAGACAACTCAGTGCGTTTTTTTAATAATTCTTTGTGTTATTTCATCAATTTCTATATTTTATATTTTTTAATGATTGATTGATTAAACATCTCATAATTGAATTTCATTGATTTATACTTGTTCTAAAAATCCAAACTAATTTTTTATATTGGAATTGCCTCATTATTTCCCTTTAAACATTTTTAACGGAAATAACTACACAGTATCACACAATAAGGATATGATTTTTGAAAATTCCAATTGAAAAATACTTAACACGTGTCCTTTTAACAATAAAACATCCAAAAAGCAATTAAAAAATAATTTGAAAACCCCAACGAAATTAACTGGAATTTCAATATGCAAAATACTTTATTGACGTGCAAATTCTGATGAAATATTTCTTGGTTTTCTTTCCCATTCTAAACAATCTCTATTTTCAATTGGAAAACATTTACTTTTTACCTGTTTTTTTTGAATTTTATTTATGAACAAAAAACAAAATTCTCTTAAAAAAGATAGGCAACTAACTTAGTTGCTTCACTGTATATAAAAATGAATGTGTGTTGTTTGTATGTTTGTTTGTTTGGACTTTATTTATTTATTATCTAAAAAAGGGCTAGACGGATTTTTCCGAAATTTTCACAGTGTCTTCCAGTATGTCTGGAAGGAAGGAACTATAGGCGCTACTCTTTACTTCAAAATTTCAAGTGGGCGACGTGCCACGCCCACATTCAAAATAATATTAAAAGTCGCATGTCTCAGAAACTGCAAATTTGTATGGACAACTTTGACATCCATAAGAGTATTTTTGGATAAAATGGGCGGAATGGCGATAGTGGGCGTGGCACCTTCCATATAAAGAAAAAAGGGGGCGTACTAGCAGTATGCCATTGGCGGTTTTCAGCAAAACTTTTCTGTAAAAAAAATGCTCAGTTAAATTACTTGTAATTAAAATTATATTGATAGTGACATTATATATATGCATCGCTGTTTATACCTTTCTGCCATTGTCCGTTATATTCTCGGCACTCTTTGCTTTACGACACAAAACACTTTGTGATCCATGCCGTCGCAAAAATTCGATGGAATCAAATCCTCGTCCTTCCGATGACACAAAAATGGCTGAATTAATGCGACTACGGGTTATACGTTCCGATATCGATGTCGAGTGTTCCTCTTGAAAGACGTGGAAGTGCTGAAATTTTCAAATCAAATCATCATATTATTTTCTATTATACGATTTCCAAATCCATTTCCCCTTCCAAAACGAAATAAAGAAAAAAACAAATCCCCCATGACGACATTCAATAAAATCAACAAAACACTCAACTTAAAAACAATGAATGAACGGAATGAATGACAAACATTGAATTACAATTATAACGGTAACTGTTGTAACACAAACAAACACAATTACAAAAAAACCATAAAAGAAAACGAAACGGAAATCGAATAAAATAAAATAATAGAAATGTAAAATGTACGAATGTAATTGAAAACAATGCTGCTTACACGACTACAATGTAACGGCTGATAGGCGAGTGCTCCGCATTCGCTGCTATCAAACTGTAAGAGAAAAAAGAAAAAAAAAAGAAGAGAACAATGGAAGGACAAAAATAGAGACAACATTTTAATGAATCTATGGACATACACAAAGACACATTACGGAACAAATTAGTAAATTGTATGTATTTTTGATTTTGATTTTTCTTAAAAATAATTCAGTTTTAAGTTTATATTTTTTTGAACATTTATTTTGGTGTAATGATTTTTTTAAATTAAGCGTAACATAAATTAATAAAAGCCTAAAAGTGATAATTTTCACAGAAGCAAATGTGTAAATTGTTTATAAGAGAATTAATTAAAATTAAAGTATTGTTTTTGCACTAACACTAACAAAAGAAGTTTAAAAGGCTCAATAATATTCATAATGATTTAAATGGGTATTTAAAAAATTCGCTCATTTCTTAAATAACAACAAACACCTGTGATGGCTCCATTATTAGCTAACTAGTTAATAAGCCCGAATAATCACTACAGTGTCTCAAACCCACCGATTAAACTGGGAAAATATAATAAAACCTAGTGCCTAGTTGAAGACCGACTTTGGAAAGATCGGATAAATTTTCCTTAAATATTGGAGTTTTTTTCTTAATTAATTTTGTGGAATTTTTTCCTAATTTTGCAATAATTTTTTATCCTAATAGAACTTTTGCAATTTCCATTAATATCAAACGGGATTACTTTTTGACATTTATGTCAAATCATTTGGAATAGAGCTACAAAATTATACAAATTTTTTTTTTTTTTTGAAAATCAGTCATTGTTAATAAACAAAATTGGCTCATTTAGAGTGGGATTAAGGGAGATCATTTTCTATTTGGTGATATGAATGACATTGATTCGGACAAGATCAATGTCGTTTTAACAAGATAACACTATGTGCTGGGATGCAATTATCATTTTATTGAAATCAAAATTAGGCCATAATTTGATTTCGAGATTATTTTACAATTTCAACTTAATAGCTTTAAAAACATAAAGCATATAATATATTTTCCTTCATTATCTCAAAATCTGACAACGTATGAGTAATATTAATTATAACTTTATAATACGTAAAGTTAAATAGCAATAAATGTACAGAAAATAAACCAACTTTTAATTATATAATTATTAACACTGCTATAATGTATACTATGAAGTTGGTTGGATTACATATCGGATGACCCTTTGGTTACATTAGTGAATTACAGACGTACTACATATGTACATATGTATTTCACTAGCTCATACTAATTAGTCCTAATAAAACTTTCTAAAGTAGATGTAAAAAGGTGAATAGGAACTTGGTTAAATGATAATTTGGTGTTGAAATATAAAGGAATTTAAGAGAAGAAGAAAAAGAATTAGTATTAGAAAAAAGACAAAGAGTTTAGAATGGTGCAAGATTAGTGCAAAGCATTAGTAGTATTTATTTTTTCAGTTTTATTTTTGTTTAAAAATTCAAAGAAGCTATAAAATTAGTTTAATTGGCATTAACTTTTTATTAGAGATAAAATAAAAATGGAAAATTACGGCAATCAAATCGAAAAGAATAAAAAAGATAGAGGAAATAAAAAAAACATTCTGCTCATTGTTCATTTACAAAAGACAAATCACAATTTGTTTGTGTAGGTAAAGGTGGTGGCATCAACTGGGTGGCTCTGTGTCGGTGGATTTAAAGCAAGTGTGGGTGTGTGTGCGTGTTGGTTGTTTGAGTTTGTGTTCTAAATTAGAGTGTGTGTGTGGGTGCATG